CTCATGCAACTTGTCAATTTTTGAACGCCAATTGCAGATAGCAATAAATAGGATGAGTAAGTGGGCTGATGAAAATGGTTTTCGGTTTGCACCAGAAAAAACGGTGTGCGTGCCTTTTTCATTACGTCGGGGGTTGTCGCTAGATCCTAGCTTGCAGATGAATGGCACTGACATAACCGTTAGGCATGAACACAAGTTCTTCGGTGTTATTTTTGATAAGAAGCTCACTTTTCAGCCCCGTCTAAAGGAACTGAAGCGAAAGCGTCTTAAATCTGCCAATGTTCTCAAGGTACTTGCACACGTGTCCTGGGGTTCTGACAGGAGGTGCCTCCTGCGACTCTACAACTCGCTGGTTCGTTCCCGTCTTGATTATGGTGCGGTTGTATATGGCTCGGCACGACCGTCATCTTTAAAAATGCTGGATCCTGTGCATCACCTTGGATTTCGACTTGCCACGGGGGCCTTCCGAACCTCACCTGTCCCGAGTTTGTATGCAGACACGCACCAAATGCGACTAGAAAAGCGGAGACAGTTCCTCAGCCTATGCTATAGTTATAAAGTCAAATCTGACCCTGAACACCCATCCTATCGTTGCTTCCAGGTATCTCCTTTTTCACGTCTTTTTGAGAACAAGCCAAGTATAGTACGGCCTTTAAGCTTCCGCGTTCAATGCATGTCTACATCCCTGCAGCTTGCACTCCCTGAGCGTAGCCTGATGACGAGAGTTAGAAGCATTGCTCATTGGAAGGCGGTGCACTATACCTGTGACTGGTCGCTAGCGAAATACAATAAACGATCTGTTGCACCACTAGTTCTTCAGCAAGAGTTTATGTCCTTGCAAGCTAAGTATAAGGACTATGCATAATTCTTAACTGATGGTGCAAAAACTCCACACTTTGTCGGTTCGGCTGTATATTCAGAACACTTTGTAAAAGCTCGATGGCTTCACTCTGTTGCCAGCATTTTTACTGCAGAACTTTATGGTGTGCTCATGGGTATTGAATATATATTGGGCAACAGCATCAGGAAAGCTATTTTGTTTGTGGACTCCCAGAGTGCTATCCTCTCTCTTTGTTCCCTCCATGATGCTAAGAATTGGCTCGTGCAACAAGTACAGGTAGAGTTAAACCTCGCTTCCCAAATGGGATACAATATCAAGCTGTGCTGGGTACCAAGCCATGTGGGACTTTCAGGTAATGAAAAGGCGGATAGGCTAGCAGCCTCCGTTAAGGATGCTCTGGAAACACCTGTTCAGCTGCCTCAAGAAGATTTTAAACCGGTTCTCAAAAAAGCAATTTATTATGCCTGGCAGCAAGACTGGGACAAAGAAATAAATAATAAGCTACATGTTATCAAACCACGTTTGGAGTTATGGGAGAGTTCGCACCATAGAGACCGTCGCCATGAAGTCTTAATGTGTCGCTTGAGAATTGGACATTCACGTATCACCCATCGACATCTTCTTTGTGGTGAGGACACCCCAGTCTGTGAGCATTGCGGTGAATTGCTAACTATACTACATATTCTATGGCACTGCAAATTCTTTGATCAGGAACGTCGAACGAGTTTTCCTTCACTTTCTGGATATCTTCCATTTCATCCAGCCTTCTTACTGGGAGATGAACTTTTAGTTCCTTTTGGTCACATTTTAGATTTTCTTAAAAAAACTGGCTACCTGCACCAGGTATAGATCCTCTGCATAGTAATTCCTTCCTTCTACTATAGAGTCTTTTAATTATCTCTTTGGCGCAGCATGGCCAATGTTGCTTTTTGCGCCATTAAACACCTAATAATCAATCAATCAATCAACCCCGCGGCAGTCCTCTTACAGCCGGTCGCGCTCCCCCGCCAGTCGCAGTCGCAGCCATCGGCCGGCTCCTCAGCGCCCACGGCGATGTCCCCGAACCCATGAGGCTACAACGCGGTGCATCATGGCGCATCACACCCTCGTGGGGTTCGCCTCGCGCTTGCGCTGGGACCGACAGCCGCAAGTTCCGCAAGGACTGGCCCCGGCCGACATCCCAGCACCATTCCAGTGAAGCACCCTAAATGAGCGGTGCGCACAAGACATACGTCGATCTACACCGACGAAGAGCGCGCCAGATTATGAGCCCTGTGCCAAGTGCCCATGATAGGGGAGTTCATAGATGATAGGGGAATTCATAGATGTGACTTGCTCTGAAGTCGAGCTTCAACTTGCTCAAGTCCGTCTTGCGACGAGCAAGCGCGCTTCATAAACGCACCTTAACTTGAACCGGTCTTGAACGGAGCTTGAAGCGAACTTCAAGTGCCCAAATTTCAAGACTGGGTTGGACCTATCTTGAACGCGACTTCGTAGTCATTTCAACATGGCGGCTTGCTGATGTGATGTCGCATATGGGATCGCCGCGTTCAATATTTGTGTCCTGTAATTGCGGTGTTGCCCTCGGTGACGGGTATTTTTCGCCGAGAGAAGCGGCCATTCCTCCGTGGTTGAATGCATCCCACCGGGATATGCGACGACGAACGGCAACGGCGCGGGAGCTGCTCGGCCGCGACTTGACGGCCTGATCCGAACGGCGACAACATGCGGCTGCCGCTGATACCCAAGCTACAGTTGCTCGTCACGCTGCGACTTTTGCTGGCAAGATGTTTCTAGCAGTCAACATTTCACAACAGACGGCGTGCGGCGCAATCGGGAGAGTGACGCGTCTCACCGTAAGGCATCTGTTGTTCGGACTGCCCGGACTCGTCCACTTCCCCGGCGCTCCCGAAATCATTCGCCTCCTTCGAGTAACCGGGTTCACGCACGCGTGTATCAAGAGCCCGGGCCCCGGTGGCGATTATGCGGACATTTATGAGAACTTCAAAGCAGTTGCCTGCATAAACTATCAGGTGGGTTCCCCCGCTTACCGAAAATAAACAAGTCTCCAGAGCTTCTGGCGCGAAGGACCTGAGCAAGCATGTGTGGTGCGCACGCACGTTTGCTGATGCAAGCTCTTGACCCCTAATATGTAACGTTCCCTGTATGCATGCTAGCAGTTGTTAAAAACAAAAAGCGCCAAAAAAATACAAGGACAGAGAAAAAAAGAAACAGGACAAGGCGCCTTGTCCTGTTTCCCTTCGTCTGTGTCCCTGCATTTATTCGGCGCTTTTTGTTTGCAATGAACCAACTGCCCCAAATATCAGAGCTGGCAGTAATGCAATTACTGTAATGAAATTACAGTAATTTAATTACTTGTTCCAGTAATTAGTAATGTAATTCATTACTTTTTGTAGCAGGTAATTCAGTAATGTAATGAATTACTCCAGCGACGGTAATTGTAATTAAATTACCTAATTACTTTTTTGCACCAGGCATATTTTTTGTGTCCACAATACACAAGAGCGCTTTTCTTTTTATTTTACTTTTTCTTTTTCCTCTACACCTTTCCAGAAACGCTCTTTGGCCGCCGCTATGTTGCTGATGCTAATGCGGCTGGTGCGACTCTCGCGCCCGCTATCAGCTAGACATTCTCTGCCACTCTCTTGAACTGTGAAAACCCGCTCAGCGCGATTCTCTACCTATGTTTTGCGGTTTTGCATTCGACGTTTTCTGGCCCCTCTTGAAAGTTTCCGCTTACTTTTTCTGATGCATACTGCGTACCCTCTCTGTGTTATCTTCCACTGTGAGAAATGGGGCTGGTAAGTGCCTTCCATTCGAGCTTTTCTGCTCGACATTCTCGGGAAACGAAGGAGGGGAAGTAGGTCGAACTAAGGCTCCTGGTGGAACGGCCCTCGACGCGAGTTTGCGAACAATGACATTTGTTCTCCCCCCTCCCGAAGATAATCCGCGGAGGGTCCTCAGTCATCTCCAAAAATAGTTGTCCGGGTTGGGGTGGGAAACGGATCAGTCGCGTGCGTTCCTCTGTCCATCGGAAAACATGCAACAGAGAGTTCTAGCTGTGTGCCATGAACTGGTGTAAATAATGTAAATAAAGTTATCTGTAAAAGGAAGTTATCAATAGCTCCTTTATATTTAAAATTATACTAAAGTAATGCGAAAGTAATGTCATTACTTTTAAAAGTAATTTGTAATGGTAATTAATTACTTTCTGGCTGTGGTAATTTGTAATGTAATTTAATTACATTTCAGCAATTTTCAGAAAGGTAATTAGTAATGTAATTTAATTACAAAATATGAGTAATTTGGCCAGCTCTGCCAAATATCCCCTTTATTGCAGCAGTTATTCCCACTTCTTTGTTTGTGGTGGATTACTTGTTTTAAAAAAATGACGTGTAGTATGTACTTGCCCCCTGCGTCAGTAAAATAAATATGAAAAATCAGGAATGCTTTCTAGTTTGGTGTTGCCACGCATTTCAACTTCTCAAGTGATCTCTGAAGGGTCAAATGGCTGCTTAGAAGAAAATTGGTCATATAGCTGCTGAAAACTCACTCGAATCCATTTACAGATGCGACACATTTCAACAAATTCTTTTTAACAAGTTTTGATGTGTTGTTTCACTACTGTATTTGTTCAGTAGCTGTTCACGACAAAACATTATACTTCTCGAATTACATCTCGCTCAAAGTTAGTCGAAAGGCTTTGCTGAAAGAAGGCATATCTTCTTTTCTTAAGATTTCTGCAACATTTGACAAGTGGATGTGTCGAAAGCATTGTTTAGTACTATGCTGAGGAGTGTTTACCAACTTTCCCCGAAACAATATCTAATGAAACAATAGCCACCGGTTTAATTTTTTTTTTGCTCTAAAAGATTTATTATTATGCACAGGTTTGCACCAAGCTCGATTCGCGGGCACAACACTTTTGTGCCCACTCCACAATCAAAATATTATTGCCTCGTGAAGAAAAAAATACATCACAATTCTTCCACTGCAATAAAGGCGAGACAAAGTGAGTTGACCTTTTTATAATTGTTCACTCGCACTAAACTTCACACCCATGCACATATTATCTGCATGCAACCTCCATAATGAAGATGTTGGGATGATAATTTGTCAAATTCTTGAAAACATCATATATTGTCTCTCTGACTCGTAACATTTATTAACTCATTCAGGTACAACACCGCCCAAATAAAGACTCGCAACACTGCTGAAAGAAAAAGACAATCCCTATGCCTCGTTGGGTAGTTGAAATCATCACTATGTGCGCAGCATCACGTAACCTAGGGAAAACGAGCCATCCTTGCTGCTCTGCCAGTCATACCAGCCAGGGGACAATGTTGAGAAGATCAGTGCGACTGCCAGCTGAAAGGGGTAGAAAAACAAGTAGTCTGAAGCCAGAGTGGTACTGTATAGGTATGGTGCCTGGAATGCATCTCCGACTGGTGTGTCTAGAGTGTCCAAAAAAGTGGTCCCTCAATTTCTGCCCGGTGCGTCATACAAGTGTCATACTGTCGCCGGTCGCGATCCTCCCAGCGGCGGTGGTTGATGTGGCAGACGCCTGTTCTGCTGCAGGTCACTCTCCAGTTCGACAGTCCACTGAAGCTCCAGCAGCCGGTGGTTGGGACGCCGTGACAACAGCGACACTCGTGTTCGCCTCGTGGTACTTGCGGCTGCTCTTTAACTTTTCAATGGCCAACCGCCAGGATCGCAACATGCAATAACGTGACACTTCGACTTCTGTGACGTCATTCGTTGCCTCTTCGTGACCACTTTTGATGTATGGGCAGGTAAAGGAGGCTAAACACACCAGTCGAAGACTCGCTCCAGGCACCATACTCGTCGGGTAGTTGAAATGGTCACTCCGTGCACAGCATCACGTAACCTAGGGAGAATGAGCCATCCTTGCTGCTCTGCCAGTCATGCCAGCCAGGGGGCAATGTTGGGAAGATCAGTGCAACTGCCACCTGAAAGGGGTGGAAAAACAAGCAGGCTAAATTCAGAGTGGTACTGTATAAAACCCCCCTTCCTCGTGGCACCAATGAAATGGGGATAATACGTATGTTGCACGGTGTGCACATTTTCAAACTTTTGAGCACATAGTGAGCCACAGTTCATTAATCACAATCATTCATATAATCCCTAACTGAAATGCTTTGTTTAACTGATGTTTATGTATATGATGTTTATCACAAATATGATGTGATTTATGCTTTGCTTGGGCATAATGACCTAAACCTAGAACAGTCGAAATAAGATAAAGATGAAGGAAGGTATGCAAAGCGACCATCCATTTTATATGCGCACCTCCCTCCATCCTTGTCTTGTTTGCATTTTTGTGATCTTCTCATTTATTATGGGATCATGCTTTTTTCATTATTTTACAAGTTATTTTCTCTTTGATTCTTGCATTTCTAAGTGGCATGCCTTGTGAATGCTGTGTCCTGCATGTTTCTTTCCCCAGTGAAAATACCCATTTTCTTTTCTTGATTGTGTTTAGAACTAATGTGAACCCTGTGCTAAAAATATGGTGGAACGTATTGCTTCCTTTGTTTACGTTTCATTACTCGCTGCACACTTAGAAATGTATGAGCCTCAATATTGCTGTCCCACTTCCGAAATAAAAGAATTTTAATGGCTGCAACCTGTGCATTAGCCTCCTTGTTTGTCTTGTAATCATGAAACACTACTGACATAAAACCTGCAAAAAGGGAATGGCTCAAGCTGTTGACAAACAAACATACAGACCAGAGCTGCTTATTTAGATGCATATCCCAACATGCGGCTCTGACGGGCAAACACAAAATAATTTTCTGGAGGTGGCCCTGCACATCTAGAGGCCCTGAAAGACTCCAAGTTTTGTTTACAGATGCTGAGATGCTAAATTATAGAAAAAAAATCATTCTGACCAACCTCGTATAGCCTACACCAAATGCTGCACATACATTTGGCAGTTGAGGAAAATAGAAGGAGTGCAAGCTTGTGCTTATATCTAGGAAACAACTGTGCTGGTGAACAATTTATCTCCCAGTGGTCCACAATGAGTGCATTTCAGTCATCAGTTTAAAATTGTGCACAAATAGAAAGGAACAGAGGAGAGAGAAGAGACAAGCACAAACTCGCAATTCAATGTATTGAAGGAAGAAAAAAGAACAGCCTGTAGCAACAGCTCGAGCCGAGGCCGGTGTGGCCTCGGCTCGAGCTGTTGCTACAGGCTGTTCTTTTTTCTTCCTTCAATACATTGAATTGCGAGTTTGTGCTTGTCTCTTCTCTCTCCTCTGTTCCTTTCTATTTGTGCACAATTTTAACCATGTTCTATCATTACCAACTCGCCCAACTAACCACCTTAATTCAGTCATCAGGTTTTCTAGTTTATGCAAATTTTCATAGTCACTAAACAGCCTTCTCAGGTTGCTTATATATTTCCAAGCTTAGACGTTGTGCGAGTCGTAAGCTTGTGAATGCAAACTAGTGTGTCACAAGCTTCATGGTTGTGTGGCGCAGAAGAAAAACAATGTGACGAGGATACGAGAGGAGGGCCATGGTCGTAACAAAAACGGCTCGCGTCCTAAATGACTTCCTATTAAACAATTACAGTGGTGCGAGCATTTACTGCCGTAGCCAAAGATGTTCAAGCAGCCAAATAAACACGGCACTGAAGAGTACAGCGACGAACTGATGGTTGTCACTGAACTCGACAAACGATCAGGGTGTCACAGTTGTCTTGAAACCGTCCGGCATATGTTTTTATGAACAAGTAGAATGTCTGGCTGTACTGAAACATGTCATACCAATCTCTGGAACAGTGTGTCGCATGCAGAATTGGGCAGCCACAACTTTTCAATCAGTGAAGCAACTGCAGCTCTGAAACATGGTCGCACAGGCGGAAAAGCGATGAGCGGCCTTTCACATCCAGACGACGGTAGGCCATAAAAGCTAATTTCTGCAGTCACGTCAGCGGGAAGAGATGCTTTCTGCTGTTAGTCCACTCGTTTGCAGCATTGCTGACATTGATGTGGTGCTCCCAGGCATCATAGTCACTCATTTATGAGAAGACAATGGGTACCGACCTGTAATGCTTGATAGACATCTAACAGGAAGTCGCCTAAGCCCTAAAGTGCCCTTTTACGAAACCACAGCATGCAGCTGCATTCAACAGCTTGAGCGCTTTACTCATGTCCTCGTTACTTCATCTTTCTCCTGCTCAACAGACGGTTCCCCTTCCTACCAGTGCACCATTGGCTGCAGCAGCACACTGACTCGTTGTGGACAGGGGGCACTCACTGTGCACAGGGGGCACAACATGACCATGCTCATTTACTTGCCTGGAAATTAGGTCCAGCCCAGACCGCATTCACTGGCTGAAAAAGCAGTTCCCTTCCTAAAAAAAAAAGAAGAAAAGTTTATGTAAGGCACTTACATGAAATATACAAGATGTAACCACAAAGCTAATATTTCCTAAGGTGCTACTCCTGCTCCTGGACTTCATCTTTAGGGAAGAGACTTCTGCAAACCGTATAAAATGGTTTGACTTCAATCCACGGCTGCCACAAATGAGAGAGTGGCAGCGTCGAGACTATTAACAGTCGAAATAATCAAATAGAAATTAGGAAAAAACAAATTTTGAAGAGAGCTTTTTGATTACAGAAGGTTAACAACCCTGCCTCTGCGCACCAAACATCAGTGACAGTTCCACTGCCTCATGCACAACATGTTCTGGGCCAGAGTTTTTGCCCGCGAAAGCCCGGCGAGGTAAACATAGCTGCGAAAACTATGATGCCCGGTAGCTACTTCCTGGTTTCGATCACCGAAAGCACAGGCACCGCGCCCAACGCTTTATGTAGTGGCGCCCATTAACACAAGCCTTCGTAGAAACATATAAGCAACACAAAATAACGTTTAAAACAGCCGAAAGAGCGCTTAGGCCAGGCCGCGTTGTTTACAGTTTACATATCCGAGAGTACTACGCCGCATAGTTTGCAGTAAGGAAATGTTGTAGAACACTTACCTACTTTGAGCACCGCTTCAATTCACAGTCCTTTACCTTCCGCATCGGGAGTTCCAAGCGCTTTTTCGTTACTAGAGTCCCGTAGGAAGATCCTATGAGGATTTTAAACTTTCTCGTTGAGGCGTGTGGACGCGGCACCGGAGTCAGGCACTCACTCGAATACCTTTTCATGCTTGTTGAACCCAGATAAGCATTTGTTTCTCGTCTTCAGTGAATCCTAGTTCAAGCTTCTCCCGAGTTTTCATAATGAAGGAGACGTCGAAACTCACTTGACGCCAAATATGTCCACAAGCGAGGGACGCCAACGAGCAAAACGAAAAGAAACAGGCCAGGAGCCATCGCTCAAATGACCCAACGTTGCTAGACGGAAAAGCACATTTGTCTAGAAAACGCGTACAACGTTAGTTTCGAAACCTGCTAAACAGCATCTTTCACGATTTGCGTTTCGTAAAGACATGCTATGAAGAAACTTTTAAGAAGCAACTTCTTTTTGACGTTTGAAACCCTTTTTAAGAGAAAAATTGCAACCTAATCTCGCTCCCAGGCGGGAAGCAGCGCGAGCGCTCGCGACTTGAACGGGACTTGACGAAGGAAGTTCGCGGGAGCGTCTATGAAACGTAAAAGCCAGCTTGAGCGTTTTCAAGTCGAACTTGGTGTTGAGGCGGACTTGAGCAAGTCGAAGTTCGGCTTCAGTTGAAGTCACATCTATGAATTCGGGGTAAGCTACACGGGGCCTTCAACGCCGAACGTCGCCAACGAAAACGGATGAATGCATCGGCAGCAACTCGGCCACTATCATCCGCCAACGTCCAGGCGGCACTCATCGTCGTGTTGAGATCGTGCCCCGATAGGGGTGCCTAACCCGACAACACTCGCACTCAAAGATCTAATCCTCGACGAGGTCTAATCTACCCTCCATCAGCCCCTCCTCGCCCGACTCCGATAATCCGCTGTCCAAAAGCTGCAGGTATACCACCGGCCCTGATCACCCCACACGCACCACCCATCCCGTACTGGCAAGGAATAAGAGGGTATGCCAACCGTCTCCTGTCCAGCACCGGCACCCGGGAGAGTGCCAGTTGAACACGCCCAACTGAGCCGCAAACAGCTGGGGAACTCCTCCGGCAGACAAATCCTGTTAGTGTTGAAAGTTGGTACGAGCTGCTCCTACCCCGAATACTCCAGCACCGCACCGGTATCATCATCACTGCTTCCTCTCTTTGATGCTAAATCCGCTTCCACCGCTCAACACTTACGCCCCATGAAGACTTACATGGACTCTTCTTTTCAAAGCCTTCAGCCTCAGTTTCCGAAAGGTGAAGTTTACATTCCGTCCGTGATCCCCGCGTACGTGCCGTCAACAGATAAACAAGGGGTAACAAGCGCTCCCTTCAGCCGAAAAGGGAGGGAGGGGGGAGGGGGTTGTGTTGAGAACAAAAATAAGAAAATAAAGACGACTGACAACCCGATGACGGGCGGGCGCGCGGAGTCAGTCAGAGCTTGAGCACCCCGAAGGCCGGTATTCGTTTTCTGGGTCTCCGCAAGTTAGTCGACTGGTGCGCAACTGAAAAATCCTCCTGGTACTGGTATAGAACCAGGGATATCTCCATTTACAGTGGAGCGCAATACCATCTCAGTTAAACAGAAGTAAGACGTCGGTACAGCAAACAGGTTTTAATAGCTGCCACCAATCTAGCACCAGCAAGCGTGAACAGCATGCAAACTCTGATCAATTCCAAAAATGTCGGAATAATGAGTGATTTTATGTTAAAAAATACCAATAAAAGACATTGCGTCATTTGCTTGGCGAGAAATGGGATCTGTATTGTGAAATCTTACTTTAAATATGAGCAAAAATCGAAACCAAAACTTCGGCTCCGTCTGGCAACATTGGCCTCGGGCCACTAAAAACAAGGCTATCACATGGTACGAGATGTCACGTGATCCTCTACGCAACGACGGGCG